CCGTCAGCCTCCTTCTTCTTCCCCCGTTTTCTCCCTTGCGCATTTCGGCTCCTGTTATTTCACTACTCGTTCTTCCTTCCTTCCGCACGCGCTCTCATCGTCCAGCCGGTCGATATAGAAATTCTCCTGAACCGTTTCTAGCAGCGAACGTTACCCTGTTAAGATCCGCAAAGCAAACAGCGGCCGGTAGATAAGAGTGTCCTTCGGGAGCCTGCCAGGGATAACAGAGGGCTTTAAAAGGCTCGCGGCGTTTTCGCCAGCGACATATAGCACGGCTGCGCCCTTCCGTCCAGAATTCGAAGCCCTATAACGCTCGTCTGCAAATATTTTCGATAATTCCCGGCAGCGTCTCGATAAGACGGACATTTTTACCCGCAAGCTCAACTATTATTTTTCTATCGTGTTATTCTGAGAAATAATTATTGTTTTGCACTAAAAATATAGCATCTTTGATGTTAATGTTTAATCGTGTATTTATTTAATCAAATGAGAGAAGAGATAAACTAATAATAATTAGAGAGAAAGGAGGCATCTTGCTGTATATTATTATATTAAACTTGTTGAATGGATAAGTAAAATTAGAGTAAAAATAATTTGCGAGTCAGTGTATAATTAAGTGCGATTATATCGACTACTATAGGAACTGTATGTCTATAGGTACATATGTCTATGTTACATCGATGAGAAACGCGAGAATTGCACTAAGTGAGCTTTGACGGATTAACTCCATCTCCCGATGACAGAGCGTGGTAAACTCGTCGGCGGAGAATTACTCCGCACAGAGAACTGAACAAGTCAAACAACTCAAATGACTCTCGACAAATGAACGTTAGAGTTCGCTGGCTCTTGCCCCCGCGGAAAGTAAATACAGCCTTGGAGTTATGTAGTTGATTTTGTCCAACAAAGCTACAATTCGATTGCTCAACGCTGCTGCCAGCCGTGTCTTATACGTTTGGCCCTTTCCCGTGTTGCGCGTAGCTTCGCGAAATGCTAATTTAGCCGCGTATCGATGTTCGCTATTTGTCAAGTACGCGTAAAGGCGCTCGCAGCAATCCGCGCACGTATGTGGTGCTGCTTTATGTGAAAGAATATTTTATAGCTCCTTAGCTATGCAACTTCGTCTCTTTGCATGCATTAGGTAACGTCGTCGACATGTCTACAATGGCGTGCCCGAAATCGCACAATTTTTTACAAATTCTGTTCACACAGCTAAGTTTACAAAAAAAAGATTGACATTTCAGTGGCCATGTAATTAATGATCTTTAAGTTATTATTTGATCGAGAATTAAAATTCTTAAAATATACATATATAAGAACTTCTTTAGACAATTTTAAGTGATATTTATTTTAATAAATTTTTTAAAATTTGAATTCTTATTTCAAGTATTCAAACTTAAAAGTATATTAAAAGTTAAAAGATATTAAAAATGAAGAAAATTGGTGTTCAATCAATTTTAGCGACAGATTGATCTTTAAGAAATCTATCATGACTTTTGGACTTTATATTTTAGACTCTGTACATTTATATATATTTTTTAAATTGTTGAATTTTCTGTAAAGATTTCTAGGAACTCATACTGACTTCTAACGAAGCTATGCAATTTTTCTCTCCCTAGTTGTATACTCAATTGGTTCCTAAAAATCCAAGTAGTTTTACCATTCGGAGATACAAATGTTTTCTAATTTCGTGAGAGAAATAGAGATAAGGTTGGAAAAGATTGGATTGGGTAAAACGGTCGAATAATTTAGTCTCTGCAACTTGGCGAACGACGTAAAACCGCATCGCTGGGTCGCAAAATATCAACGTATTTATTAAGATTTCTTGATTATCTAGAAGTTCCAATTAATTATTTTTAACTCTAATACAATTTTGCTGTTGTACATGTCATATATAAGTAAAAAAACAAAAAAGATTGAATAAACGTCGTGTTTTTATATGAGATTGCGATATCATGATATCTCCATTTAATGAAAGGAAAATAACCAATGATCGTTGACGTGATCTCCGCGTGGGGACGTAATATGCACAATCATCTCGCTAATCGGTTAATTGCGTGATTTTCCGCTCGTGGAAAAACAGGATTAGATTCGAAAAGAGAAAGAGTGATACGGGAACAGAGAGGGGAAGAGGGGAGAGGAGAGAGATGAGTATACTGCATTTCCGTATAATGTGCCGAGAATCACGTTATTTCGGCTAGATCGTTAACGTTGATTTCGAAGGATGGCGTATCGTAGAGAAGACGCGCCTGTGATCGATAAAACTTAATTAAACAGTTAATTATTATTTTATCACTTCAATATGATAATGCGTAAATACATAAATGCTGGTCGTTTTAATCCGTTTATTTATTCGTGATAGATTCATTGATAAATAAAATACGGCATCGCTGAGCGCAATATATTCGGGGGAGCGGTGCATAATTCTTTAACGTTCCATTTAAATCGTTATTTAACCAAAAGCGTTAAGCGAATCGTTCTCGCTCGTCGAGTGAAATGTTAACTCGATGCGACAAATTTCATTATTGAAACCGCGCCGCGCGCTGCGGCTATCGCACCGTGGGCAAGTGATTTTACGCAGGGCGATTTTATTCCGACGGCGGACGCGCGATGCAGTTTCGTTTTATTTCACCCGGGCGCATATAATGGCACCCTTCAAGATCAATCTTCTTCTCACCTGTCCGCGGTATTAGAAATGCCGGATCGTTATTCCACGGCCCGTTTTCGCTTTGTTCGAGAGATTTTCTTTTTTTTTTCGTTTGTGTTTGTGCGCTCTGTGCGTGCGCGTGCATGTACGTGCGAAAGCCTCCCTCTCGCAGATTTTTACTCTCGACTTTCTCATTTTCGCGGAGGCGATGATGCGAGAGTCTCGTGTGTCTCGCGATGATTATTCGGAGTGATCGAGGAAGGTTCCCCCCAGGTGGTGCAAACTCAACCGTAAGAGATTGCTCGGCCTCTATATCTTCCAGCGCGGTTCTTCGGCCGTTATCCGCGAATCATCTTTTTGTCTAGGGCTTCTGCCCTAGTCGCTGTCCGCTTTTCTGGCGCGTCAGTCAGTCAATCGGGAAATTTATTCGTTCCCAACGTGCAGCCGCTGAACGAAGCTAACGGTTCGGATAAGAAGATGCATAACTGATCTCATTTCATTAAGATTGAAATAATGAATTTTCTACGAATAAGGAAGGAATGTTTCAAATAGTTTAATTTACGTGCGAGATGTCAATTTCTTATGTTTCTTATATCTTATCTATTTCACATACCGATTTTTGTATTATTTTTTTATAATTCTTTTTACTTGTTCTAATGAGACGGAATGAACACATGTTAAATTTTTCAATTAATAATTGACAATTTTTAGTAATTAATAAAAAATTTTTTTTTGAAGATTTGGTTATTCCAACGAATACAAATGTTCACAGCTATATTCTCATTGTGGCGACAGCCGCAAAGTTTATAAATCGACGATGAATGGCGGAGTATACGTTGTTCGTGATTGCGATACGTGTGTTTGTGCTAATATAACGGTAAATTGAGTCGCAATTGTCCCTTGCCATAACACTATGCGTCGCTGAAACAAAATACGTATGACAAAACGACCAAGGATTCTCATTCGGCTGTCCGACCAACCGTCTCTAATTTGATTGGCCGCGGTGAAGGGGCAGATAGCATTGAGACAGGTCAGTCCGCCGTGAAAATCGGATGTACCGACCCTGATATCCCTTCGGGGAATGGAAAATTCAGTTATAACATCGAACATCGCCATGTACTTTTCAGTTGCGGCTTAGTTGCGAATAATACTCGTCACTCCGACGTTATGGTCGGCTCTCACTCAATTTAGATATATACGTCGCTACATGCTGACGCTGTTGTTAAATACACGAAACTTTAACATTATTCCGCGTATTTCGGGAATTTAATTAAAATTATAAAAAAAAGGAGGTAACGTTGCTTGCGAAGTACAGGACGGTAGTCGGTTTGTTCTCTTGTTAAAATTAAGTCGTCAGAAAATGTTAAATTTTACGAGAATACCGCGTGGAGCAAAAAGTAAGAATTTTACTGCGGAAATGTAAATTATAATAAGCTACGCATGAAACGAGTGGGGAGTCGGATTTAAAGTCCTTCAGCCATATGGATTTCGTAAGCGAATCACTTTCGTCCCTTGTAACTGCGTTGCTTGTCGTTCAGCATTTTCATGAGCAATCACGCGGCCGGAACTAACCGCGTTATCCACCTTTATTTGGTGTTTACACGCGGAACTTTGTTCATCGCCTCATTTACACGGTAACCAAGGATACCACCAGCGTGCTCTCTGTTTTTGCTCTTTCTCTCTATCTCTATTTCATGGTCTTCCCATCTTTTTCGTTTTACGCTTTTGTCTCCTTTATTCAGTAGTTTCTATTTCGCGCACTCTGCTCTTTATCTACGGGGGAAATATTAGCCGCGGGCGCAGTAGCGTTAAAGGGGAAACAGTTAAATTAATAATTTCGAAATTGCGAAAGAGAAATTGCCACTCGCGGTCCGGGTTCCTTTGTGTAGTTGCAGTTTTCCAGCCGGCAAAACTGCGAGTCGGCGAGCAAATGGAAATCTGAACCACCGACTTTCGGAAAAATCGATTTGTCCGCAGGTAAATGGATTCAATTGAGTCACCTGATAGTTTCGCACGAACTGGTATTATCACGCTCTTTTTACATGATTGAATAGTTGGATCGAGTATATTCGATTGTAAAATGACGCAATTACTTTTACTTGATTACATCGGTAAGGAAAGTTTACAGGAATAAATAAAATTATTCGACAAATTATGTAATAAAATATTTTATTATTATACATTAAAATATATAATATTCTAATATATATAAAATTTATTTTTATTGTTCAAATGTCAAGTTTATTTGATCGAAATCAAATTTACCTCTATTAAAATTCCATGGAGCAATATTCTTTCCAAGTATATCATTAATTATATTATCTGTATAAATTATTATGAAGTATTAGTCGTAATGCTTCAGTCTTACCGATGTAATTTTTCCATTAACATGGTTCTGCGTAAAATACGTACATCGGGTCGATTAATCTTGTTGATAGCTGTAATTTTCACACACGCGTTGATCTAATGAGAAACGAGGTTATTTCGGACACATCGTAACAGGACACCGACTGCACCGGGAGAATCTTAGCGGCACCCGTAATTATGGGGCCCCGTTTCGAAACGAGCCTTGTCGTATAGGAGTGAGGCCCGACGACGACGGAGCTTGTTATTGGCAGCGTAAACAACACGATTATCTTCTTCCGCAGTGAAACCTGCCAAAAAAAGATTTCTATTAATATTTATGACGATCCGAACGTACGATTCGCTTCGACACCCTACGGGGAAGTTAGGCCTGCCAAATTATGCGACGGGATGAGTTATAGGTTGAGGTTGCAACGCGCGATCGTTTGCTATGCTTTCATTACCATCAGAACATATCCGCTATGCTCGTAAATGAGTGATGAAGATGAATGTCGAGTGCATTTATCAATTGTGCGAACGTTACGTGGCTCGTGCCCGCAAAAATCACATTGGACAAATGAACTCATTCCGATACTTGGTGAGGATAGTCCAAGATATAATACTCTAAAAAGTTTGTAGCTCTATAACGAAAGATTATAAATATTACAAAATGTAATTATTCTGACCATTAGTTAATTAATTAGATATCAATTGGCTAATCGAATGATTTATAAATAAAAAATATACATAGTATAATTGTAAAATTGCATCATACTATAAAAATTCACTTACGTGAAATAGAAAGAAACTTTTAGATATATTAGATTATAGATTTTAATATAATTTTAATGATTAAAGGAACGAGAATATTGTAGTAAATTTCTTTCTTTTTTTTTTACCTGAATACAAGGATATCACGCGGATATGCATATATGAGCGTGAAATTTATTTGACGAGATGCAAGCTGCATCATACAATTTCCCAAAGTCCCAACAGCGTTTCTCTTTAATGATATTTAATAATGCTGCACGTCATCCGGCATCATCGTGAAAAAAATGGCATCTTTGCATCGGGGTCAACGGCGCATCATACATTCATTCGGAACATTCCATCACGAGTCGAGTGTAACGAGTATTTTTTTATTGCGCCGAGAAATCGTGCATACGGCAGATTCGACACATGCGACGACGATATTTTATTTCGACGTATCGTACAATATTTTTTATATCTGTCACTGGATTTATGTACGATAAGCAGGATCCAATAATCTACCAGGATGGATAGCCGAAAACTCACTGTTATGGATATGACGGCACGTTTTATTCATTTATATGTTTGTCTGTTATAAATTTTAAAACGGCCATGTTTACACACAGTATAGTTGTATTTATCTTTGATACATATATATCTCCATGCTTTCATGAACAAATGCAAAAAAAAAAAAACATTTATCTCCGTGTGTAAATACGTTGGGGATAGATGAATTAAACAAAATCTGATTTTCCGAATAATAAGACCGCCGCTAGATTATTGTACACAGCATTTGTGTTGAATATATTCCCAGCAACCAAGAATGAGGTTTAAATAGCGTGGAAAATCAAGTTTATCATTTTGCAAGGTAATAACGTGAACTAAACGCTAGACAAATTGAAGAATGAGTATATTAATTACGTCATACTCCATTAGGATTTACCGTAGACGCTGTCGCCACATTTTCGCATTACGAGCGAAGTTCCGTAAAAATAGGGGGACATAAAATTTCCTCTGGCGACGAATTCCGGGTTAACATTCTCGGAACGATCGCTCTAACGAGCTCCACGATAATAAAAGTGAAAGGCGCGCGAGCGCGAGTCAGCCTTGGTCTCGCCGTTCGCGTTTTCCTTGTTCGAGAAAGGGGTTGAAGAAATTGGCAGGAAGGAGAGGAGGCGTGAAGAGGAGAAAACGAAGAGAAAGATGCCGGCGCAACGCGCGATACTCCGCTATCTCCGGACGCCTTCTCAACATGTTAATTGTATATTTGAGGTGAAGCGATAAATAAGGCGTCGTCGGTAGCTCTTGCCGTGGAGAGTCTTCATTACCAGCTGTAATATATAACCGTGGCCCCTGCGGGGGCATTCCCGATTCACGAAGCGAATTAAGTGTCGGGTACGTACTGGGTGACCCGCAGAAACCAGATTAGGTGATTGCTCCAACGTGATCGTTCTGCGAAAGTTGTAATCAATAATTTCGTCGGTTTGTTTTTTCCTATTAACTTGCGAGACCATCTCGTCCTGGGATCGAGCGTTCCTCTTGTTACACGTGAAACGTGCACAGGGACAAGGACGTTACTTTAGCGAGTCGACTTTCGCGAAGTCGCCACGGCTAATCGTGTCCAGGCATCTCGGTTGTTCATCGTGCCTCGCAGCGTTCTGGATAAGGGTTCGCACGAAAAGAAAGCGAAATCGCATGTGATCTCGGATACATCGGTTTTGAAGGCGGTCCTGCGTATATATAGGGTGTCCCAGGTTCTTCACGCTCGTCTTTATCTACGAGTTTTTAAATAAATTTTGGAGAGTTTCCCTCACACAACAGTAATAAAATTATTACTTGTACTTTTAAATTGTAAGTAAATCAAAATTTAAAAGTTTATATGATACGTATTAAGGCATAAGTATGAAAACTAATAACGATATCTTACTCTTTCTTATATTTAAAATAAACTTTTAAAGAATTATTTAAAATATTTGGTGGTAAAAAATTACAAAAAGCGATAGTCCCAAATTAAATTTTCTGTGAGAAAAATACAACTGATCAAAAAGATTCATTAAAAGGAATGGCGTCAGTTTAGAACATCTTAATATATCTTAATTTCAAATTCAATTTTTATGAAGAAAGCATTAATTCCAAAACGTTCAAGGGATTCGTATGTGAGCATTCCTGAAATATACCGTATACACACGTACCCATCGATCTTCAGGTTTCGAGGTGTGAACCGGTTTCCTCGGCACGATTTTTGACACAAGTCTCCGAGTCTTCTTATCAACCCTCTCGGTCGGTTCCGATGGGGTTCTCGAGCATCATTTTTGTCTCCTTCGTTGGAGCGAGCGAGGCTTTATTCAAGACACCGATGTGGTGGATAGTGATGATACGCCCAGTGTCAGATTTTATTTACCTCACGGCGGGTTTTTGTTTTGTGCTAAATACTCCAGCATTTAAGAAGACGGTCTTCCCCGATTTATGGCCGCCGTCACAGCCTCCAGTTCTTGCTCCTCTTTGTCTTTCTCGAATCCACTCGTGCATTTCGCGTGGATTCTTCAAGGATACTCGTCTCACGTTTTATCCGTCATCACCAGTATCTTGTTTTCTTCGGAAGATACGTTTGCAGACTTAAAAAAGCGACATTAAAATTATATTACAATAAAAACTTGAACGAATGATAAAAATCTCGAGACTTTTGTGCTTTATTAACGTTTTGTTCCGCTCTGTTCCAGATAAATATGGAAGCGGTGACCTCGACCGATTACGCCTCTACAAATCTCAGCAAGAATTTTAATCAGGTCGGTTTCAATACCTATAATTACTCACAATTTGAAGAGAAGTATAAGCCGCGGCAAATTTTCAAATACGGCGACGAGTATCTCGAGTACGGGCATAGGTTCGGCGCTAACGAGAGATTTGCACGAATGAAGCACCAGGATGGTCTGAGACTCGATCAGCGATACATGCGCAGCCATTCTCAGCCGGAACGGCAGCATCACTCGTCCCAGGAGACACGTTCGAAGTCTCAGGACTCTCGCGAGCTCACGTTCTATCAGATAGACCCGCCTGTGAAATCGGAAAATCCACGGCAACATGACAAGTCGCATCAGAAGCTGAAGAAGGAGCTGACCTTCTACGAGATCGATGGACTCCCGTCCGTCGGTCAGGAGAGGAGGGATAAGTCCGAGGTGTGCAAGGAGCGTGCCGATAAGAGTATCAAGTCCCACGACAAGTCCCATGCCGATGGTCAGGAGAGGCCGCAAGCTGCAAAGCACGGCAGGCAGAGTCATCAGGAGCAGCAGAAGACGTTGGCGAACGCGCCAACGTCGGACTACCATCAGCTGAACCGGTCGCAGTCGGATCTCACGGAGTGTCAACTGCCGAATTACTACGGGCACCGGAATAATCCGTACATCGATCCGCCCAAGTATCGACAGTTCGACAGGCCGCCGCGCTATCAGGAGGCCCCGTTGAAATCGGAACCGCCGCCTAAGTATCACGCCGATCCGCCTAAGTACGCCGAAGTGTCCAGACGGCAAGACGACTTTAAGAGGATCCAGGTAAGCCGTAACATATAGGAAATTCTCGTTCGCTCGTGGAACGTGTAAGAATATGTACTACTCTGAGACCTTACTGATCGATTATAAATATATTATAAAAATTGAAGTAATAATAAAATAATTATATCGTAAAATTTTGTAGGTATACAATATTTTTATTATGAAAATGTTTGTTGAACTCTCTCTCTAAAGTACTAAAAGTAAATTTTGGAGTAAATTGCGAATAAATGCTTTCTTATAAATAAATTCAACTTTTCTCGAAAAGCTGTGATTCGGAAGAGACTATCAGTCTTTCTCGATCGCGCTCTGCTATTAGTGCTCCGTTCTCTCGCTAGCTCACGTGGCGACGGCCGGCGCGTTAACGATGAAACTTGCATGAATCGTAGTACTACAAGCCGACTACTATGTTGCGTTATCATTCGGTAGGAGGAGAGAGGCAAACGACAAGGTGGCAGTGGTGGAGGCGGGGGTGGCAGCATCAGCGGCGGTGGTGGCGGTGGCAGTAATTCCAGCGCAGGAAGGGGGAACACCGGCACTCATGGCGCCGAGACGCCCTCTAATCTGGCCAGTATCACGCCGACCGCACGAGAAGTAACACGCGTCGCGATCGCGCGACAACGGCTCTCCCATAAGACGTGCGACGTGCGCACCAACAGTAATAACAATAATAATAACAACAACAGCAAGGAGAACCTGTTGCAGGAGATCGGCGTTGATTGCGATTCCCGGTGTCACGTTGAACCGCCAAAAAATCATCATCATCATCATCAACATCATCACCATCATCAGCAACATCATCAGACTCGCGGCATTGGTGGTAGCAACGTTACTAGCGGTATCGTCGGTAATGTCTTCCCAGATAGTGGTGACGTTTCACACGGCGACTTAACAACGTGCGACAAGTACAAGGGCACCGGGTCGGAGTCGAATCGGGGCGGCAGCAGCGACATAGTTCAAGGTCGTCCAAGCGAGAGATCCATGCTGAAGATCGAAAAGCTATCGGGGAAAGTCGCTCTGCACGGCGGCGGCGAGGCAGCAGTCAGCAAGTGCGGTGCGGAGAGAATGAAGTCGACCTCGCAGGAAGTCGGCTACAACAAGCACGAGGTCAACAAGGCCAAGAGCCACGATGTCGGGCACGGTTACAAAGTCGAGAATCTGCGTTATTACGGCGAGCTGAAGGGCTACGCCGACTTCAAGGCTTACGGTACCGTGGACAAACAGCCGGCGTCCGTGCTGGTGTCTGCGCACGAGAAGTCGCATCTTCTTCACGCGCCCACCTCGTGCGAAAAGGGCGACAAGTGTCACGGCAAGGCGCCGTCTTCGTCCGCGCAGGGTTACAGTCTGGCCAAGATTGGCCAGCAGCAGGCGGAGAAGAGTCATCACGGCGGCGATCACTACTACCACAGATCGTCGCACTCGAAGCCGAACGTGTATCAGGTGTACCAGGAGACCAAGTACTCGTACAACGTGAGCGGGGTGCCTGGGACGCCGGCGCAGGCCAGCGCAGCCGCGGCCTTCTTCGCAAGGTCAGTGTTCACTCAATCTAGCGAATACGATAGCACGTCACGATAGCGTGCTGACGACGCACCTGCTGACGCATCTGACGCGAGCGTCCTAGTTACCGTGATATCTTAACTCTTCCGGTATCGCGATTTTCAGCAATGTCGTACGTGATTTTTTTGGTAAAAATAGGGGATTTAATGAAAGGAAAATTGTGAGGAATTACGTCCACACACACACATGTGCAGATTTTTACATTTTTTAAAATTTTGTATCGCTATTATTTTTCGATAATTTTATTCACGAAAGTTTAGAAGTTAAATGAATTATATTATCCGAAAATATCGAATTTAATTCTAATTTATTGCATTTTTTCTTTTTTTTTATATTTCTTAAAATATTGACGAATATGCTTTCAAATAAAAGTGAGAAATAACATTGCGTGAATATTCAACGCAAATTTTAAAAGCCTTTGAAACAGAAATTTTAAATACTCAACTGTTTGAATACTTAAGGACGTTCTCTCGTCCTTACACTAGAGAAAATCGATTTTCTTAGGATTTTCTTGAAACTGTGAATATACGTTAATTTTTAGGTGTGCATTATGCGTGGTATTTTCAGTACCTCTTCCGGTATAAAAAATAAAGATGCTGAGCCTTAAAGTTTCAAAAAAAATTTTTTTAATTTAATTTTTTTTAGTTTTGGCATTTTTTCCTTATAGAACTCGACGAGAGGAGCAACTTTGGTTCGTCTTGGTCAACCTCGTATCTCTTACCGTTTGGCCTGGAAAACTTTTTCATTAGTAAAAGTTGAAATTTTGAGGCTCAGTATCTTGATTTTTTATACCGGAAGAGGTACTGAAATTTATACCACGCATAAAGCACACCTAAATTAACGTATATACACAGTTTCAAGAAAATCCTAAGAAAATCGATTTTCTCTAGTATGACGAGAGAACGTCCTTAACTGAATCATACTCCTTTCTCGATCAGCTCTACTTTTTAAAGACTTTGGATATCTCGGCATGTCGCATAAAGATGTGTGTCAACGGTTGATGGTTAATAAATAAGAATGAAAAGACGGAATTTTTTACTTGAAGCGGTTCAACCACGCGAAAGTTTATTGCGGCCATTACATGATTTTTGTTTGTTCGGAGAAATTTATACTCTCGTCTTATGTCGCGCGCGAAGCGATCAATTTACAAGACCATAACTGCGTGTATAGATCTCGTATTCCGTTAGCGTGTATCTATGTATTTAAACGTAAAAAGTCGAGACATTTTTCATCGTTATCAGGTCTGCTTCTTGGAGCGTGAACGCAATCGAAGCACTGCTCGCGATACACTAGCAAAAGCATTATTTATTACGCGAATCGATAGCTTGTTTACTCGAGAAATTTGCAAACTCTAAGCTGGCTCGGTCGAGTACTCTCAAACCTAACTTTAATTGACAAGAACTCTGCAACACGTACGCACGAGTAAACAACAGAGCAAAATTTGAACGCGTGCAAAAGCTTCCGCAACTTGTATTTTCCTCGTGAAAACGCCACATCAAACGATTAAGGCATTCTATTGTCCCTCACGTCGTTCTTACACATTTTAACGCGTATAATTACGATTATGCGAGCGCAGCCGGCTGTAGAATGACATTCAGCTTCAAACCTCGTCGTTTCTTTCTCTCGTAAATAGGTGCGAAGGAGCCTGACTCTTCCGACTTGTTTGTCTTATAAAGCGCATTTTCACCGCACCAAATCATCCCCGTAGAACACGCGTACGGGGACCCATCCTTCCTGGTTAGGCTCTGTCTCGAGCTTTGATCTCGCGTATTTTCGACGTTCCCGTATGAAAGCACCCACAGCTTGCGTGGCGAGAGCGCGAGTACAAGCACGAGCAAGCGTGGATCGCATGTGGTTTATGTGCGAGGAGAAAGCTCTTTCTCTTTCTATAAGGGCTCCGCGGTCACAGCCGTCTTTTCCCCTTAATCTTAGGCGCGACCTCAACCCTTTAATAACCTTGCTCATAGCTCGTGGATATTGTAAAGCACAATGGCATTCTTGGGGGGTCGGCTGCTCGTACATCCCGTCTTCACCTTTCCTTCCCCTCTTTCTCTTTCGTTTTTGTTCGCTCGCCGTTCTTACGCGTGTGCGTACAAAGCGCGCGAATACGTGTGAGTTATTAGCAGCGGCTAATTACGAACTACGCTTAATAACGATGTGCGTCGAGAATCGAAAGTTTTCTGGACGGTGGTGGGGGAGAGAACGCTCGAGGGAGGTCTCTCCGGTTAACGCCGGACTTCGGAACACCGGCAAATTATTCAAAGCGAATGGGACTGTTATTAACCGGATGCTCCGCTATCCATGCATATAATAAGCCCGGGCTTTCAGCGAGCGAGCGCGACCGTCGCGGCTTTAGGCTTACACGAGCGTTTTAATAGCGTTTTGGGCGCAGCGATGACGCTAATCATCGGGATACCCGACAGGGATTCAAATCGCAATAGGCACAGTCATATTAAACATGCGGTATACAGATTTGCCCTTTTATCTTTAACATTTCGCGTTCCCAATTATTTCATATATCAAAAATGAATGTTGTACCTACCAAATTCTCTCCTTTTGAAGTACGGTTGGTATCAACTTTCAATATTTATTAAAATATTTTTAATTTGTTACAAAAATATCTTTCGCTCTTTTATAATAACCGAATGTTGACCGTTGTTAAACAAACGAGATGATATTAAAATAGAATTTCGTGCTTTTTTCTTTTTTTTTTATTAACTTGCCAATTTTTCGACAATAATATTTTTATCTTTACTTTTACTTTTCTATGCCAGCGACGTCGTAAATATATATGTAGCTACGATACGTAGTGATGTATAGCGTATACTTACAAGTCAGTTAGCCAGCTTGTCATTAACGTATGTATAATAGCGCATAGCGGGCGCTTGAGCGATCGTGCCTCGTGTTTCAATGATTTCAATGCACTCTTGCCGAGACAGTGGCGCCTGTTCTGCACATACTGTCTATTTAATACTTCCTTTTCTTTGCTCTTCAACGATTCCTTAGGACAGACAGTAGTCTCGTAGGAAGTTGTGTGACGAGAATTGAAATTAATCGTGTTCCGCGCGTACATCGATGATCGCTTTTAACTCTTTATATATAATGCTAATTAAACTACAAAATTAATTATTTTTATTCGTAATCAATGTAATGCCTACTCTATTAATGTCAGTATTGAAGGCATATCCAGATACGTTCAATGTTAAATAGATACAAAAGCATTCATGTAAAATTACATTTCATAATTAGCAATGAATGTTATTAAATATTTTTTTTTATACTAGCGAGCAAGATATAATAGCTGCTTTAATTGAGATAATGATAATAATGATATAAAAAGTTAAATTTTAAAATTAATAGTTTTTCCAGAACACTTTCCAATTCTGCAACCATTATTTTCAAGATTTTTTTTTATATTTATTCATACTAATGTGAAAATAAATTTGAGAATATTATTCCGTTGTGTGTCGAATCGACGAATGTCGGTTGGGCGAACTTGAACTCGCGTATCTTGTTTAATTTCTCGAAAATGATCAACCACTTCGTTTTAACCATTTCTCCGCTTTCCAAATCGGATGTAAATCCGTTTCGCGAGTAAACACGGTGCGAAGTTACCCAGAGTGGCTGTGCTTTTTTTTTTCCAAATTTCCTCGCAGTCAAACTCCGATGGAGGTCGATTTCCCGATGGGCTCTGCCGTAGCTCCTCGTAAAGTTGAAATTTCAAAACTTTCGCATCGGCGTTATCTATACGAAGCACGGGCAGATAAAATTGACCTAGGTTGCACATCCCCCGGTACCGGCGGGGAAGAGGAAGAATGGCAAGAAGAGAAGTGGAGAACGCGAGAGGATAAGGTGAAACTGAAGGCGGTGGGCCAAGTCTACCCGTATTGTTGGCTGTCGTGATTTTATTGCCCCTTTATATTGCTTCTGCAATACTCTCTTTCTCTTTTCCTCTTCTCTCTCGTACCACGCTCATTTCCTTCTCTTCGCCTCACCTTAGGTCCGTCTCTCTCGCTGTCTCTCACTTCCGACCTCCCGCCCCCGGGATCGCGAAAGCGATTTTTACGAGGCAGCTCGTTTCGCGTCTCCCGAGATGCAACCTGCTCGCCCGCCATTCCTGAAAATTGCAATCTCAGGGATCACGATAGTCGGGATCGCTCGTCGTAATCGAGGAACGGGAAATGATAGAATCCGCAAAAATGCGAATCGCGACCATAACTCAAAAATCGTGCAACTGAATCGCGTCTTAGAGGTAGCCGGGCTTGCACCGTCGCCTTTTGTGTCACTGCTTGTAAACATATATTGCCTTTCTTTATAGATGCAACTGTAGAATCGAAAAATTATCATAGAAATGTAAACGCGCCTAAACTGGCGACTTGGATGAACGTGCGGGGTTTTACCTGCTCGTGAGATATTGAAGAGACGGGGAATTGCCGTCATGGAATCGCGGAAAAGGGAAGAGAGTACCTTCGGATTTTTCTCCGAAAGAGGCGCGCGCACGCGCGCGCACTCTATCCTATTACATATTTATAGCATATAAGATTTTGTCTTCGTTCTCGAGGCTCGGCGTGGGCAACACGGATAGTACGCTGGTATCCTATTAGACGTATTCGGATAACCCTTAATTAGGCAGATGGGATGCGAGGGACGAAACGTAAATACGCGCCTGCACACATATTGCTCGTGGAAACGCGTATCCTATTTAATTTGAAAGCCGAGGAAAGATCGTTATCTCATTATGTGAGCGGTATATCACGCTTGTGTGAGCGGTAATAATTATTGGTGCGAGAATAAGAAACTACGTGCTGCGCGAAATTACTCGATAGGATACAAACCTATCGACAACAAAGTTTATACAACAAACTTTATACTTTGAGAGTATAAAGTTATACCACACAATATAGCCGCAGTATAATATATTTGAAGGAGCTTTTAATTCTCGGTGAATTTTTTTTCTACCTTCAAGAAGGAG